AAGCTCTCCTGTTCTCTCCCTAAGTCTGCCACCCATGCCCTTGTCTTAGGAGGGGCTCTCCTTAGAAAAAGTTCATAGCAAGCCCTTCAGAGGAAAGAATGCCTAACTAATTTCCATAATAGGAATCTGACCTACTTTGTGTAATTCTTTCTGTTCTCTATTGAGGTGAGTATAATAAATATTTCTGACTTGTAATTCTCTTAGGTACCAGTTAAGGGCCTACAGTAATTGCTCTGAAATATTACCCTGGAGACATATTGCTATACCACAGTGCCAGGCCCCAGCTGTAAGATATGCCCTTGCTATGTTGATAGTTATTTGGAGTACGGTGGTCCCTAAAGAAAAAATTCATAGTGAACATCCAAGCCCAAAAAACAAAAATAAGGAGGATTGCTACCATTATGTGTGTTCCATTGTAGAATGCATGTACAGAGCTGACAGTACATTAATTTGCCTTCTGGCCTGCCCATAATTGCTGTGCAGGCTTGAGCAGATTGTTTAACCCATTCTACTAGTATACTTCAATCCCTTTACTTGTAGAGGCCATAAATTTACCTTCTTAGAGTGATCATTAAGCTTAACCAAGGATAATAGTTATTATAATAATTATGTGAAGGACTAGGCTGAAAAACAAAATGCTAAAAGAGAGTTATCTATTCAATAAATATTTATGGAGAGAACTGTTATTCTAAGAGGGGATAAAAATACATAAGCCATGGTCCCCGCTCTTGAGAAGTAAAAAGTATAGTGGGAGTTACAAGCCATAGGCATAAATAACAAGCAAGGTAGGAGATGAAGGAGGGAAGAGAAAATATTGGAGCGGACAGTTAAAATGGCTTCATGAAGAAAGTAACATTTAAAATGACCAAATGCCCACCTAATTCCACGTCCTTTATAATACCAAATCGTGTGCATGTGTGTGTGCTGGGGGAAGGGTTTCAATAGATTTGGTTGATTTGAATTGGGTGCAGTAAGAGAAAATTACAGCAGTTTTACTCTGCCACCTTGGGAATATATTCCACCCCACAGAGACATACTGTTCTAGGAGATTTGGCCTTTACAGTACTTTCTCTTCTTGGCAGCTATCCTAACCTTGTTAAGTGGTATTATCTGTGATTTCTGATTACAGCTTTATGCTTCTTGGCTGTGCTGCAGCTTGAAATGTTTGTTTTTCTTCTTCATTTTTATTTAGAAGTTCCCAAATGCACATTGGCTCCCTGCCAGATTTCATAATCCCTGTGATTTTTTTTCAATCAAAGACTAAACTCCTGGAGTATATCATTTGTCAGATTTATCTAAAGTCCTGGAGCATCCAATGAGGTCTGGATGCTGTAAGGCAGGGTTCAACTTCAGCACAATTGACATTTGGAGCTCTGTTGGGAGGGGATGTCCAGTACATAGTAGAGTGTTTAGCATCATTTCTGGACTCTACCCTCTAAGTGCCCAGAGTATTCCCCCACCCAGTTGTGACAATGAAAAATGACTCTAGACATTGCCAGATAACCCCTGGAGGACAAAATGACCCCCAATGGAGAACCATTGCTCTAAGGCAGTGGTTCTCAACCTTTCTAATGCCGCGACCCTTTAATACAGTTCCTCATGTGGTGACCCCCAAACATAAAATTGTTTTTGTTGCTACTTCATAACTGTAATTTTGCTACTGTTATGAATCATAATGTAAATATCTGTGTTTTCCGATGGTCTTAGGCGACCTTGCTAGCAGTTTCAAGACCATCGGAAAACACGGATATTTACATTATGATTAATAACATATCAAAATTACAGTTATGAAGTAGTAATGAAAATAATTTTATGGTTGGGGTCACCACAGCATGAGGAACTGTATTAAAGGGTCGTGGCATTAGAAAGGTTGAGAACCACTGCTCTAAGGTAACCTCCACTGTAACTGTGGATTACATGGGAATGGGGAGGAATTACCAGCCATTCTGTGGAAACCACTGGATGGTCTAAGGCAGAGATAGGCCATTTATCAGAAATAGGATGCTAAACTGCCTACATACTAAGCCCAGGTTTGGGCAAGAGTACATGGTAGCAGCCCAGAATAGGCATGGCACAGGAAAAGCCTTCCTTCCTCCAAAACCAGTGCTTCTCAAAAGATTTTGTCCCAGGATCCCATTACACACTTAAAAATTATAAAGAACTCCCTAAAATTTTGTTTATGTGTGTTATATCTATTAATATTTAGCATATTGAAAATTAAAATTAAATAATTTTAAATGAATATATTCATTTATTCAGTTTAAAAATAAATCTATGGTAACATAATGTACTTTTATGAAAAATAACTATATTTTTCCAAAACAACAATAAATTATCAAGAAGTGATATTGTCCTATATTCTTGCAACTCTCATTAATGTCTGACTAAATATAAGAGAATAGGATTCTTATTTATGCTGCTTTATTCAATCTGTTGTGATAGCACATGTCATGTAGCCTCCAGAAAACTCCACTGTACATCATTAGAGAATAAGAGTGAGAAGGGCAAGGGTACCTTAGTATTGTAAAAATAGTTTTGACCTTACTGACCCTTTGGTGAAAAGTTTTCAAGATCCTCCAGGGGTTCTTGTAGCACACTTTGAGAACCACTACTTTAATATGTCTCACTTTTATCAGCCTATTTCATTGAAGGCTGACAAACTTTTTTTAAACTCAGAATCTTTAGGGAGAGATGTCTATTTGGACCTTAGTGTGAGTGAGCCTAAATAGAGATGAGACTTCTCTATTCCTGAGACCTAGTGAAAGTAGCTGTACTGAAGAAATTGAATGAAGTAATTTGAAGAACATAGTACCTGGAGGGAGGACAGGGACTGGTAAGGGCTTAGAGAAGCAGTCTGAGTAATCTGGGCCCTTTGTAATAAGAAAAGAGGTAATACAGAAAGGAAGAAGGAAATGCTTTATACTTTTTGGTCCTGATGGAATCAGTCACCCATATGCATTTCCCCTGCTATCTGAGCTAACTGCTAGAATCCTAAACCTAGGTGCCAGCACCTATCTTAAGGCATAAAGCACTGGGGAGAGGTGGTAGTGATAAAACAAAAAGTAATAGGGGAAAAGAGAGATGAGAGTCACACAGTGGGGTTTGGGGGAGAAGGCAGTTTCAACACTTATGGCAGAGCCAGAGATGGTCTGTCTGTCCTTTAATAATCTAAGACTTAACTTTTACTGCCAATGATATCTTAAAGAGGCTCATAGGACTACATACATGGGGGAATAAAAAGAAAGAAAGAAAGAAAAAGAAAAAAAAATAGGCTCAAAGTTTTGAGTATATTTTATTTCTTTGCATTCTAAGCATCTCTGGTTGGCATTTGAAGAGCCTAAGACTGTAAGCATTGATTGAAGGAACTTGTATAAAAGGACCCCAATTTCCTGGTGAAATACTAAATGCAGATATTTTGGCTTCCAACCCCTGCACTAACTGAGAAAGTGTCACCTCCCTGACACTAAAAATTTTTAGTTTTTCAAATCTCAAATACTCTGAAATTATGTATTATTTTAAATGTTGATACATTTCTCAGAATATCTCGGGTTGAGAAGGTCCCTCTGCTCTCAACAGCAAAGTGGGGAAGAAAGGAAATAAGCTTTGAGGACTTGGTCTGATAGACACCAGATCTCTGTGACTATAGGAAGTCCAACTTATCCAAAATAAGCTAAGAAAATTTATAACATGTTCATAGTTGCATAAGTGTGTATAAATGTGTCTGCTTTCCTCCTTGTAAATCCATGACATTCAAACTAAAATGCACTGGTATTGGCAATATTGTTCACATGAGTCTGAACACCCACTAGTTTATTGCCTTGTAATAAAATTATGCCGTGTTCTATATGTAATGTATTATCCAAAGTTATTAGAGATACTGTATTTGAAATTCATTAGCTCTAGAAAGACACCAGGGTAAAGGTCATTATTTCCATTTTATAGCTGAAGAAATTTCTGAGAGAACATCTTTATCATGGGACCATTAGGGTTTCCTATATTTTGCCCAGTGGCTCCAACTGTAGTCCTTATGCTTTAACATGTGGAGGACTAGGTAGCAGTGGCCCAGCCTCCTGGTGATATATTAGCCTCTCAGTTAAGGAAGTCTTATCTTCCCAGAACAGCTTGCCTAAGCTGTTCCTCTACAGTGCTACCCACAGTGGCAGTCAGTTTGCATTTTAGGTCATGCTATATTAATAATCTAGTTTAAAACAATCTGGCTCACTCTCTGGTAGCCTGAGTGAGCATCACAGAGAGACAGCTAGTCAGTAACTCAAAAACAACCCATAAGCCAGTTCTCCCACTTTTGAAAGTATTCCTCTTATTCAAAACTCAGGGATCTACCTTACTGTATACTTTTAATACTAAGATCAGGATGTATATAAGAATTGAGTTTGTAGAGTGAATACATGTATGGAATACAGTTCTTTCTAAGATAATTTTCGGCTGGGCAACATATTTGTGTAATAAAGGACAATCTATCAGAAGGCCTGTTATTCACAAAGAATCTATTCTCTTTTCTGTTCGGATTCACTCTTTTGTCTCGTTTCACATATGGAAATGCTGCCCATTCTGGCTCAGTCCCCTTCCCCATTCTTCCATAGAATTTGCTTTCTGTCTGGAAGTAAAACAAGACACCCAGTTAGATCAAACCTAATACATCTCCGTCACAAAACTACTGCAAGCTGCTGCCGACGATTGTCACTTGAGGGGAGACCCTCCTCACCACACACAGCCTATTTGAGGAGTGCCTTTTTTTCTATCCTCATTATTTAACAGTGTGTGCCGATTACTCAAAGCGATATGGGCAGGCCCTGGTAAATATAGCGTTGCTGTAGTGTTAACTTTTTATAAGGTAATACTCAGGTTGCCTGCAGTGTCTAAAATTACTCTGTGGCCAGGGCCCCCTGCTTTATCGCTTTCTATAGTTTTAAAGTAGTTTGAAGCTTGAATAACATAAAATAACATAATATAATGTTATTTATGTTATTTCCCACGTGAAGAACGCCTGTAAACCTTGCAGTATTGAAACTCAGTGAACAAGGCATCTTAGACAAGCTGAAAAACAAATGGTGGTACGATAAGGGGGAATGTGGAGCCAAGGACTCCGGGAGTAAGGTCAGTCGCTGAAGGTCTTTTTGTACTGATTAGCAATCACATTTTGAACCACTGTTTATTTTCTACCCTAAAAAGGCTTTCCTTCCCAGCACACACTCCCTGATACAGTGGGACCCCTTTATAACACCAGTGTTAAAGGAATAAGGCAAACACCAGCCTCAGAAGCCTGCCATGTGACATCAATCATTAACTCTAGAGAGTTATTATTATGATTAGGGGATTCAATCTGGCCCACTGCATTTCCAAAGCGATAAAAGAAGGAACTGTGTTATAAGGGGGTTTTACTGTATTTCACATTTTCAAAGTTCAAAGAGAAAATATAACAACAACAACAACAAAAAATTCAATTGTGACAGTACTTTGTCTTAACCTGTTACAGTCAGAGACTTCATAGTCGTAAATACCTTTGGTTCTTAATATATTATGTCAATCCCATCTACAATAAAAACAGTCAAAGAAATAAATAACTAAGACTGGTCTCTGTAAGCAGAATGATTAGCTTCCTCCCAGCTGCTGTCTTACTGAGTTCAGCATCTATTTGGATCTCAAATCTCATTAAGTCTGTCACACTTCTCTCTTCCAAAGGTGTCATTTAAATCTCTGTACATAATACTTTATTAAATTAAGTCACATGATCCTTAAGGGTTTACATTGTCAGGATAACATCACATTGATAAGCATGAAACACTCTTCCCTGCCTCCTTCCTGCCCCCCTTTGTTCCCCTAAGGAAGTTTTTTTGCCTTCCCTTTTGTTTGAACTAATATTATGGTATCAGTTAATTCATTTCATGAAATGCCACTCATTTTCCCTGTGCAGTGAACCATTTTGCTACTGGTTTTTTACATCCCACAACAGGGAATTCTGTGAAACTTAAATACATGGAACTTGAAACTGTTCTTGTTGCTACAACTTACATGGGGTATGTCAAAGGACACTTTTCCCCCATAAAATACCACATACATATAAAAGTCTCATGGCAGAGAAAGGGTTATCAGAAATTGGTCCGTTTCCTAATGGACTGTGGAATATATTTGAAGACAGCCTCACCAGCTTCCTTAAAGAAATGATCCATTGTTCCATAAGTGACAAATTGTTATCACTTGTCTAGCTGTCAGTCATCCTAGAAGAATGACTATTTGCAAAGTTGTTTAGACATGAAGCATATACTTACCCCTTCCTGAACATGTGATCCAATTCTAATTGGCCATTTTAGTAAACAAGTACGGGATTGGCTCCTATGAAAATTGAATCAGGACAATGCCATATTGTCTTTACATTTAATTCTTTAAATGGTACCAGGATTAGCTGAGCCACAGAGCACTGAGTGTCAGCAATGACCATTATCTGCTCACTATGTTATCATTTGAATAAGATTCTCAATTCACTGATTTAACAATTTGGATATTCCATTCAATTGCATTCAGCAGCAAAATGGTTACATTCACTCTAAAAAGACTACAAAATGCTATTTTTTTGTTTGTTTGTTTGTTTCAAAGAAAGGCTCCTGGCCCTTGGTGTGTCCTACCTCAAGGTAGGGCTCAAGACACCAACATTTTTTTTTCCATGGTTCAGCAGTTCAGTTTTTGCTTTTTCATTCAGGCAGATAGCTTAGTCAGATTTGCAGTTTGACCTGAAAGCCACTGACCGGCTTCCTTAAATTTTCTCCTATTTTTGAATAGAAAGCAGATAAGCGTAGTCTTTTTTTTTTTTTTTTTTTTCAATTATTTGCTACTTCCCTGGAGTAAAAGCTAAAAATGAGCTGGATTTTTAAAAAATCCTCAGCCTCCTAGGAAAGCTTTCTGATTTGTATAGAGCCAATTCAGGACCCAATGAGTCCTCCTGACTCTCAGGAAGATGGAGTAGAGCCAATTCTTTGTGCTGCACCCTTGTTCCAGCAGCACAAAGACTTGCTGCCCTAAAATGAACACTTAGCAACCAGTCCCCAAAGGGAGCAATTTCTTAACCACTAGGGTAAAGGGGAGTGTTAACCCTTTTTAAACAAACCCTTGTGAAGTAACTCCCCAGATAAGAATATCAGGAACATCTAATTGTCTCACCTGGTATCTTAAAGACCAGTTGTTGACAAGTTTGTCACAGGGAGAACAAGGGAGAAAGGGGTGTTGCGGGGCAGAGAGGGGAAAGAGTGCTTCAAGTTCCCAAATGAGAAGAGTGTTACATTTATAGAGATTATGTCACAGCTCAACTCTGGCAAATGGTATTTATTGAGACTGGAAGAGGAATGAATTGTGGTTATGTTTACAGTTTTGCTCCCATGACCAAGGGCTATTTTATTAGTTGTTGACACTGTTTTGAAGTACTAGAGGATTTAAGGAGTCAACATAAAAGAATATACAGGTGAGGATCACAACTGTTAACAGAAACACAATCTATCATCTTGCTGGCCATTGTGAAACATCAGTCAGTTGCCAGAGTTGAGTCATATAACACGTCCATCAATGTTTAGTTATTTTACAACTTAAAAATATCCTATATCGTTGTAATGTATTATAATGTCCAATTGCCTTTGCTTTTCCCACGAACTAACAACATTGTTCATTTCTCTTAGGACAAGACCAGCGCTCTGAGCCTGAGCAATGTGGCAGGCGTTTTCTATATACTTGTCGGAGGTCTGGGGCTGGCCATGATGGTGGCTTTGATAGAATTCTGTTACAAATCACGGGCAGAGTCCAAACGCATGAAACTTACAAAGAACACCCAAAACTTTAAGCCTGCTCCTGCCACCAACACTCAAAATTATGCTACATACAGAGAAGGCTACAACGTGTATGGAACAGAGAGTGTTAAGATCTAGGGGTACGGTTAAGGTCTAGTAAACTAATCGGCCTTACATTGCTATATGTTAATCTCTTTTTATTTTTTGTTTCTTAGGTGGTTTTTTTTTCTTGTTTCAAGCATTGTCTATCCTTTTCAACCACTTGATTCTTTGAAAACAATGGTTGTGCTTTCTTGTCAGACTGTAGTGCTTTACTAATAGCATAGTTGTAATTAAACTGTGGTCTGTGACCCAAAAGGCAAAAAATTCTCTACAGCAGCACAGTTCAATAGAAATATTTGCCAGCTACATATGTGAACCACGTGTATAATTTCAAGTGCTCTAGTAGCCACATTTTGAAAAGTAACACAAGTGATATTAATTTAATGATATATTTTATTTAATCCAAGGTATATTTTCAACATGTCATTATAAAAATAAAGGAGATTTTTTACATTTTTTTTTTTTTGCATACTAAGTTTTAAAATCTGGGTTATATTTTATACTCATGGCACATCTCAACTAGTACTAGCCACATTATCAAGTACATACTCAATAGTCATATGTGGCTAGCGACTACTATATTGGACAGTGCAGCCCTAGAGAAAGCAGCTGCTCCAGAACTGATGTTAAAAAAGGGAGTAAAATGGGGCACTGCCACAATGAGAAATGCAATGCTTCCATGGAGGAACAGTGTTCTCTTAAGGATAAGCTTGAGAAAATTTTTTTAATCTTTGAGTTCTTTTGTTGTCCCTTTTTTGAAACTAATATTCAGGTAAGTATTTCCCAAAGAACAATCTAGGATTCTGGCTGCTGGCTGCCCAAAATTCATACTTAGATGAACCTGACTGATGCCACCTGGACTCTGGCAGCTATAGCTAACCCCACCACCACCATCACTAATAACTCAGATGTGTTCAAAGGCAAGCTTGAATCAGAATAATGCTTTATTCTGGAAGTGTTTAAAATAATATAGTCTTGTTATCTTCAAGTGCATCTATCACTAACACACCTATCTGAAGTGGAACAGAACTTTTAGCAACTTCATAACCCTTATTTTACGTGGGAGATTTTTTACCTCATGAGTCAATATCAATGTGCTTGAATTTCTACTAATTTGTTTATTTGTGTTTTGATCTTATATTTCACATTGTGAATCTAAATTCAGCTGATTTTTTTAATAAATCTTTATTGTTCATATTATTACAAATGTTCCTCTTTTTTCCCCCTCCATTGCTCCCCTCCACCAGGTTCCCACCCCACCCTCTGCCCTTTCCCCACCCCTCATTGTCCTCATCCATAGGTGCACAGTTTATATTCAGTCTCTTCCCACACCCCCCTCTCCCCTTTTCCCCAAGAATCGTCAATTCACTCCCCTTCCATACCTCTGATTCTATTATATTCAACAGTTAATATTGTTCATCAGATTTTTTTTAATTTCCTTGGCTTTTAAATTCACTTGTTGATAGTTACGTATTGATATTTGTTGTTCATAGTTTTTTTTTAAATATATTTTATTGATTTCTTACAGAGAGAAAGGGAGAGAGATAGAGAGCTAGAAACGTCGATGAGAGAGAAACATCGACCAGCTGCCTCTTGCACACCCCCCACTGGGGATGTGCCCACAACCAATGTACATGCCCTTGACCGGAATTGAACCTGGGACATTTCAGTCCACAGACCGACGCTCTACCACTGAGCCAAACCAGTTTCGGCTGTTGTTCATAGTTTTTATCTTTATTTACTTTCTCTTCCGAAAGAACCCCCTTCAGCAATTCATATAATTCTGGTTTGGCAGTGATGAACTCCTTTAGCTTTTTTTTTTTTTTTTTTTTTTTTTTTTTTTTTTTTTTTTTTTTTGTGAAGCTCTTTATCTGGCCTTCGATTCTGAGTGATAGCTTTGCTGGGTAGATTATTTTTGGCTGTAGGTTCTTGCTATTCATCACCTTGAATATTTCTTGCCATTCCCATCTGGCCTGCATGGTTTCTGTTGAGAAATCAGCTGACAATCGTATAGGTGCTCCTTTATAGGTAACTACCTGCTTTGCTCTTGCTGCTTTTAATATTCTCTCTTTGTCTTTTGCTCTTAGAATTTTAATTATGATTTGTCTTGGTGTGGTCTTCTTTGGATTCCTTTTGTTTGGAGTTCTGTGTGCTTCCTAGACTTGTAAGTCTAATTCTTTCACCAAGTGGGGGAAGTTTTCTGTCACTATTTCTTTCAGTATGTTTTCAATATCTTGCTCTCTCTCATCTTCTGGGACCCCCATAATTCTGATGTTGGTTCACTTGAAGTTGTCCCAAAGGTTTCTTACATTATCTTCAACTTCCTGGATTCTCTTGTATTCTTGCTTCTGCGGAGGAGTGTCTTCTGGTTCTTTATGTTCCAAATCTTTGACTTGATTCTTGCGATCTTCCATTCTGTTTTTGGGACTCTGTATAATATTTTTTTATTTCAGACGATGTATTCTTTATTTCTTGTTGATCCCTTATTATTTCTTGTTGATCCCTTATTATTTCTAGTTGATCCCTTTTCATATCCTCATAGGTCTTATCGATCTTTTCTAGAAAATTCTTGGAAAACCTTATAAGTGTGGTTTTGAACTCTATATCCAGTCGCTTTTTGTCCTCCATTTCTTTCGTTTGTGATCTATTTCCTTGTCTCGGCATTTTCACAGCTTCCCTGAGTTGGTAGCCTTAAAAGTCTCTTTATTCTGCTTGGATGGGGCAGAGTTTCAGGGTGAAGCCTACAGCCTTGGCTTCAGTCAGCCACGTCAGCCACGCCCTATGCGGCTCCTGAGTCTCAGTGTTTCTCAGGGTCCTTCGGTACTCGCTGCAAGCACCTCTGAGAGTGAGGTGCCCTCGAGTTTCACCTGCTACCAAACAGTCTAGTCTCTCCCCCAATGAGCCCGGAACTGGAGTTCAGTTCAGTTGGAAGTGGGGTTCAGAGCAGTCTGGAGCTTTTGTCTCCTTCCCGCCAGGGCAATCCCACGGCACAGCCAACCGTCCCTTCTCTGCGCGCAATGTGTGTGCCTCTGGGGGCTCTGCCTTTTGCCACTCCCCCGGGTTTCAGCCTTACAGCCCAGTCTCCCTCTGTATGAGTCTGGGTCCCCAGGGTCTGGCCTAGAACTGAGGTTCTGAGCAGTCAGAACTGGGGCTCAGCACAATCCGGAGCTTTTGTCTCCTTCCTGCTAGGGCAATTTTGGCAGCAGAGTCAACAGTCCGTCCTCTGCACACAATGTGCACGCCTCCAGAAGCTCTGCCTTTCACCGCTCCCCTGGGATTCCGCCTCACAGCCCAGGCTTCCTCTGTTTGAGCCTGGGTCCCCAGGGTCTGGCCTAGAACTGGGGTTCAGTGCTGTCAGGTCTGGGGTTCAGCACAATCCGCAGCTTTTATCTCCTTCCCGCTAAAGAATGCCAGCCAGGCACTCAGCTTCCTCCTCCTCTCAGGCTCTGTCCTCTCCACATGCGCAACGTGTCTCTGTACCTTAGGCTTTTACAGCTCCTCTGATTTTCCTTCTGGTTTTCTCTTTCCTTCTTGTTGTAGAATTTCCAGTCAGTCGACTTTCCTGTAGCTCTGGGCAATGTCCATTTTATATTTTAGTTGTATTTTATTGAAATTATTGTGTGCAGCTGTGGTTAGGTGTTTACCTGTGCAGCCATCTTGGATCCTCTCTCCAGCTGATTTTTAAATAACATTTCATCCAAACAAATTATCTGTCTTCACCATGGAAAACATTATCTTGTTTGATGAAGTTGCTGATTGTTCTTTTCTGCTGCACACTGTAAACTTTTGCTACAATATATTAAGTACAACAAACTAACCCATTAACAAAGTGTTCCCTTTGCATTGTTGAATGTACAATGCATGCATTTGTCTGTAATTAGCACTGTTTGCATGCAAGCATTTAATGTGTTATGTGCTTAAAATATTTTCTTTTGAGTAGGTTATATAGTTCCATTACAATTTGGTGCATATTATTTGCTTTTTCATAGAATGGTACATGGGTGATTTTGGCCTAGTTTAATTATCCCAAATTCTGAGATTCTGGCATCCAAAGAAATAACATTTTTCCAAGTGCTCTCAACTTTATTGCCTCCTTTGATGTAATAAGTCAGAAAGATTTTTCCTTTTAAGCAACTAAGACCCAGCCACACCACATTACTTGTTCAAGGCAACACAACTAGATAGTGACAGTTCTGAAACTAGAATCCAGCCCTTCTTTCTCCTATGGCTATATTCTTTATTAAACCATGCCACCTTTAATCCCCATGGCCTGGTAGTTTCCAGGAACCTTGAAATCCCAGTGGTATTCTATCAAACAGAAAGCAGATCTCGTTTATGCCCCACTTGTTTATAAAAAGTTTTGAGGGGCTGACTTCACCAACCCTCCATATTACCCACTTATGCACCCTGCATGAGGTTGTATATTCACTTCTACTTTCCCCAGAAAGAATCTTTTGAAACAAGGGTATCAGGGCTCAGGGCCACATAGCCTCCAAGCCCTCTTTATCATCAGCCATTCCATCTGAGAATCTAGGTCCCTATTCCCCAACTACTATGGCCTCAGACCCTTGTTAAAGCCTCAGAGCAGTGCTTCTCAAATGTCAGTGTGCATGTGAGTCACCTGGGGATCTTATCAAAGTGCAAATCCTGATTCAGCAGGTCTGGGATAGGGACTAAGAGTCTACATTTCTCACAAGCCCCCAGGTCATGTTGTTGATACTGTTCCAAGGCTAGAGAAAAGTATCTCAAAATATATAACTTATATAACTTAAGGGAAGAGAGGATGAAAGGAGGAAGGGAAAGAGAGACAGAAAGGGAAAACAGAGAAAGAATGGAAAGAGAAAGGAAGAGAGAGAGAAAGATAGAGGGGGAGGAAAGGAAAGGAAAGGAAAGGAAAGGAAAGGAAAGGAAAGGAAAGGAAAGGAAAGGAAAGGAAAGGAAAGGAAAGGAAAGGAAAGGAAAGGAAAGGAAAGGAAAGGAAAGGAAAGGAAAGGAAAGGAAAGGAAAGGAAAGGAAAGGAAAGGAAAGGAAAGGAAAGGAACTGAGATCAGCAAACCTTTGGGAAGAATGTTGCTGTTCTAAAGTAGAAGATCGGAACATCAAATGTGGGAAAAGAGCCACAAAAATGAACTTAACACAACTCTGGTTCTCTGGCTGCCCTTTAAGTCATCTTTGTTGATCCATTTTGAGAAGAAAAATTTAGGCTATTTTATATCAAAACTCACATTTTAATTGGCATCGATGTCAATGTGGTTATAATCCAGTTAGTTAACACCTTGGCAACCATCCCTCAGATGAAAAGCAAACCTGGCAAATTCCTCTACAAACAAATCTGAGTCTGTGAAGTCTCCAGATGAAAAAAAAAAAAAAAAAAAAAAAAAAAAAAAGCTTCAGAGGATGCTGGAAAAAAAGACTTACATGTGCCAGTCAAGAGGCACAAAGCAGGTTGAGCCTGCAGTAAAAACCTCTCTGCTGTCATCAGCCAGTTTGGTGATGTAATGTTAGGGAAATGTTGGTTAAGTGAAGAGTGAGATTTTCATTCATTCATCCTTTATTTCCCAAGAAGTTCCTGAATATCCCCTAGAGACTTCTAATTTGTTGCCTACTTATTAGACTTCCAGTTCAATGCATTGGTCCAGATCTGTCAAGGTCTACTCTGGGACACAGAAATGAAGAGGCACCTGAGGTGTAACTTTTATTACTAATTATCACAGCTAGCCTTGGGAGTTTATGGCACTTGTAATTCTGCCGGACAAAATTCTCAAGGGCAAATCACCCGCAAAAATGTGATCCAGGTGAAATCTGGTTAATAAAAAGGCATCCTTGAAAGAGGAGGAAGTCCTCTGTGGGTGAGAGTAGAGTCAGGATTATTAAACTCCATATGGAAATATGTGCCTCAGCCCCAGACCCAGCACCCACTAAGGGGCAAGTAGTCAAGAGGGTACTTGCTGCCTCTCTGGGTTACTGACCTACTACTGGAAGTTTGGCCCCCAAGCATAGCTTGGCAGGTGACTGACTGCCAAGTGTTCCAGATTCACTGCATTCTGCTAATTGTTTTAAGAAATATTTTCCAATTTTTTTCATTGCTGTTTAGAACTACTCTGGCTTCTTTGGTTTCTTCAAAAATATTTTTGAAATCCTTCTCATTTTCAAGACCTCAAGATGCTGAAGTGAAGGAAGATTTCCATTTTTTTCTCTAAGATATTCGTCCTAGAAAATATTAATTTGGTTCATGTAGCCATTTTCAAAGTCACCAATCTTTTTTTTTTTTTTTTTTTTTGCAGCCTACTCATAGACATCCTTGCTGGGGAAATTTTTCTGCTTAAAGACTTGATCCTATGTTAATTAGAATAGCTGGAGTAGTGATGTTCTTTGTCCTCAAAGGACTTTTGCCTCAGAGATAATGTGTCATCTATTGCCATTTAAAAGCAGGAAACAGAGGCACTGAGAGATTAGGTCGCTTTCCCAAAGTTATGCAGCTATGGTCAATGGGAACCAAGGAGGGGACTTTGATTTTTCTGCCATAGATTTGAAATTTCTCTACATTTCTGGACAGATATGATTCAGGAATCTGTGCATTCCAAAGAAAAGGTTTCTTTTTAACACTTTCATTAGTGTTATTCTGCCCTCTGGTTTTTGGCCTCCGGGTGCATCTTTGTTAGTCTTCTTATATTATAGATACATTTATTCCAGGGCCAGTGGTAGACATTTTCATGCCATTCCTTTGGGATAAAATTCATTGTTAGCTCAGGAGGAGAAGTATCCCATTAGTGTACAGGGAATGGATAAAGAGGAGGGATATGAGCTTAAAGAAGAGACAAAAAGTGACCTTGAGTTTTCAGAGCCAGGGGCAAATGAATCCTCTGCATTAGTTAATGCTCCAAGAGTAGAGTGGCATCAACATCTCCATCAAGCCCACAATATCAGGGCAAAGACCCCATGAATGCCAACCCCCTTCATGGGTTTCACTGTTCTGGCCTTTACCTGAAATGTGCTTTCTTTTTAAAGTCTCTGTACTATTCTCAGACTTTAATAACTAAGGTTGTAGGTATTAAGAGAAATAAGCTGCCACCTTTCTGGCAATGAGCAGCAAATTTTCTTCTCACAGGCAAATGGATTTCAATGGAGCAAGCCACAGAACCCTATTTACCCTCTGTACCAGGTAAACAGTCCTTGGTCACAGTTTCTGCAATCAGAATACACTCCTAAATTCAGTTATCCTGAATATCTATAGTTAAATGCTACTAAGACATTTAGGATACCTACATCCTAAGTGATTAACAGCTTGAGTTAGACTTCATGAAATGCCTATGTATTCCTTAGTACAATACATAGCAGAGAAAGAACCTAATTTAACTTGTTGCAAAGCATTTGTATAAAGTAAAATAATTTAAACAAACCTGTTACCTAAAACCAAACTGAGTGCAGCTCCAAAGATGCCAATTTGAGAAAACAGCCTTGGTTCTTGTCCAAGATAGATTGAGCCATAATAAATTTCTCAATTTCCAATTTTTTTTAAAAAGTCCATTCAAATTTAAATTTCCCCTTTGCCTTTGCAGATCCCTTCCTATTAGAGGCATGTGAGGAGAGGAATCACCGAAAATGTGGCTGCTTCAAGGATCCTGAGCCAGATTTCACTCTCCTTGGTGCCGGGCATGACATGAATATTGCTGATGGTGCAATGACCTTTCAATAGGAAAAACTGATTTTTTTTTTCCTTCAGTGCCTTATGGAACACTCTGAGACTTGCAACAATACAAACCATCATTGAAATCTTTTTGCTTTGCTTGAGAAGAAATAAAATAAAACCAACAAAAAATGGACATGCAAGATTCCAGTATGTGAAAAAAAATCTTATTAAAAAAAGTCAATTCAACAAAAGCCATTCTTTGATACCACTACACAGTACTTAAACACCATGTTCTTTAATACATACACACACAAAAAAAAATTAAATTCCAGTTCAGCAAATAGGCCCATCTTAGCTAAAATAATTTCTCCTGATAAAAATCCTTTAACTCTCTGTGTGTGGGAAGACAAACTGGCATTTCTTCTAGGATCTGCTGACCAGATGTTTTTGGTATTTCCTGTTGGTGATGATGTTCTGTGCACACTACTTCTTTTCAACGTTGCTGAAATGTATATATCTTTAGACTGTAAATGCAACATTTAAGAAAATTCAAATACTTTGGAAAAAGGGACTCAACAGTTACTTCTCTGCATTCTTAAAATGCTTTGATAACTTCCCACTCAGTGAAGGGATTAACAGAGCTTTCAAAATTGACTTGTGTGTAGTGAGGGATGGGGCACGATCAGGCATACCTCTCGGTGCTTCCCTAAAACGAATCCCTAGGGCTTTTCAAGAAGCCTGGAATTTCAGCTCACAGATCTGTTTTTCTTGCTTCAGTGTGCATTTTAAGTCAATATAGCTCAGTATCTAGCATTGAGGTAAGGGAAATGCTGCCTATACTCCCAAATATGTCTAGAATATCTTTCTCAGAAACAACACTGTGTTTAGCTCTGCTTTATCTGCTAAGTATGCCTTTCAAGTGTACATCACGGAGACAGTACTGTGTTGCAAAGCAAGCCAGTGGGTTCAGACCACAGATTTCAATCTGACTTTACTCTTGCTGGGTCTGTCTTACCAGCTGTTGCCTGTTACTGCCCACGGCTCTCCGTCAGACTGCATGTGTCCTTTTCTAGTTTGCAAAGAATAAAATGCATTCCCAAACCTACTGCTAAACTGAGGGCCTCAGCATCACTCCAGGTCCTTGCTTGGAGCAGTGTCTCTACTGACTCTCAAGAAGATCGCGCTGCTGCTCCACGGGCTATCAAGTAACTAATTGTGTACCTGCCATTGGCATCATCAGAACAGTCAGAGGAAATAGTCGCTCACTAATTACCTCCTATATAACGACGTATGCTTTCTGTAGTTCAATAGTTTGCTCTCATCAGTGACATGCATTGGGAAGTTTCCAGACTGTAAAAACTAAGAGCTCGAATTTATTTCCCAAGTGTGACCTTTAGATGCTTAGTTGACTTGCTGAAAATTTGCTCTTGTCTTCAGAAAAGAAAGGAAGAAATCTCGTTCCAACAAAATGTTTCTAGAAAAGTGTAATATAAACTTTCATTCCAAAAAAAAGTGTGTCATAAGTGAATAACTTATCTGTCAAATTTTAAATGGTATTGAACAAAAAAAAAGAAAGCTGTTGTGTTTTTGTTTTGTTTTTACGAAACTGTAATTTTCAACTTCTGAATGCTATAATGTTCCAGTGCGGGAAACTAATGCTGTGCAAATATGAAGTTAACATAAAACAAACCAACCTACCTACAGACAAATGTTTTCATAGGCACTGTATAAAAAGAAATGTATGTTTATTGACTCAAATAAGTTTTTCAGAGAGAAACTTAACTGAGAATGAAAAGGCGGGTATATTGGTTTGTTATTTTTTTAAAATCTGCATGTTTAAAAAACATTGATTGCTTCAAATTTCTGCTACTAACTTCAAGCTATGGGAGTTTGGCGGTAGTCACTTGAGGATTTTTTCCCAAGTCTTTTTGTTGTTAAAGCTGTACTTCAGTGAACAGAAAAATTGCCAAGCAAACTAATGGCTGTAAAAGCATAAATTGCATGTATGGGTACAAATTACGGAGCCTCATTGCCATGAGGTATTGTACAAAGTTTTAATACATTTTGTAAATAAAATTGTAAAGAAAGAATTCTATTTCTGTGCTTTGTGTAAAATTGATTTGGATGCAGGTGCCAAGAAGTAATTATGTATTCACTAATTTCCTTCCCACCAGAAGCTTTCCAATGTAAGTCACTTTACTGATGATTTTCACAAAGGATTATGCCTTTCCCCACCCCAACTGCAGCTGCAGTCAGACTCAGACCCCTTCACCTAAGTGGAACAGTACACCAAACTGTAGATTAGGTTTGTCAGGATCACTAACAGTGAGATGGTGTCTACAAACAGCAATACGCAGGGCCTCGGTTCATATGCAAAGGAAGAAAGTTTGATTTCAGGGCCTTCCATTCCCACTATCAGCCTCCTCCACCCTTTGGGACTCTCTCCTCAGAGACTTGTCTTGATTCTAACTTTGGTCCAATCCTCCCATTTCCAGATACGATCTCCCATGGATGTGCATAAACTTAGAACTGATAAACCTCAAAAACACTTCTAATTCCTTTCCCACATAATCACAAAGCATATGTCCTAGTACTTAGTTAATTAGCTGAGTTTTGTACTGCTGTCTTAATTACTGACAATAACTTAATGTTCTATTGGAAAACCTTTACTCCGCCAGGGTCTCTGATCTAGAGTGATGGAATAATAATGAATTTAGGGATATACCGACTTTAATTTATTTCTGAAAAAGAAGCAAAGGCTAATGATCTAATCCAATTTGTAGATACTAAACATAGAATCCTAGTTTTATCCAATAAATAAAGCAAGTGTTTAAATATAAAGAAGATTTATATTATGATCACTATAGAAAACAGGGGATACTGATAGGAGAAAAGGAAAAGTGATAGTTTGCAACTAAGAAAAGAAGAGTGGAGTTGAGATGCTAAAGAGATAAAGGAAGAATGACATCTGGAGTTAGGGAGCAAGAGAATAAGGAACACAACACCTTGGAAAGGAAGAAAAATTGATGCCGGAAAGGGAAATTCTTAGAAGATTCTGAAGTATAGGCTAATATAACACACTGTGGTTGATTTGCCCTGTGGGCTTCAGCATATTACAGCCATTTTTAATGTCCTCTGAAATGTCCATTAGCTGGTAAACCACTTGCATTTTAAAACTCTTCAACTGTTTTTCCTTCAACTGCTTTTCTGGAAGTTCCACCAGAAGAGAACGTGATTCTCTAGAGAGCAGATTCAGTGACTAGATTAGAGTGATGATCCCCTTGATGGACCATCACTCTAATGGTGCCTGATGAAGTCAGTTCAGGTACAGCAAGTCTTGATTAACATTACTCTGTTCAATGTTGTTTCATTTAACATTAATGAAATGCTGTAGGAACTTAACTCTTTTTTAAAATACATTTTTTATTGATTTCAGAGAGGAAGAGAGAGGGAGAGAGAGATAGAAATATCAATAAAGAGAATATCATTGATTGGCTGCCTCCTGCACACCTTCGACTGGGGATCGAGTCCAAAACTAAGGCATGTGCCATGACCGGGAATTAAACAGCTACCTTCTGGTTCATAGGTTGATGCTCAATCACTGAGCCACCCTGGCCGGGTGGAACTTAACTCTTGTTTATATAAATTAGCTTATGGTCTCATTATACATTGTTTTGCTTATTATCATAGAACCAATCAACAGCATTAATTGAGGACTTATTATAACAAATATGTCCCCAGATCTTTAAAAATAATAGATTTATATTTTAGCAGGATCTCTACTTCCTTACCCCAAAAAAGAAGCTAATCTCAGTTACTGTGGTAGATAATAGTAAAGTACAATTTAGGTTTAGGTGGGATTTATGTAGGTTTTTTTCTCCTTAGAGGAAAGGAGATACGAAGGAGGCACTTTTAGTCTTGCTCAAATTAGACAATAGATGACTATATATCCTGTTTACACATAGAGTCAGACTCACCAACCAGATTTGCAAAAAGACCTTGAACTTCAAATATCATGCTCCTGTGTACAAAATGAGAATGTCTCTTTGGTTTCTACATTAATTTTCTTGACCTGTTACAACTCACATATAATCACATTCTGTCAATAGTATGATCTTGAAATAGGGAGGGGAAATGTATTTAAGAAAACCTTAGTATTATAAGATCATGGAAGAAACAGTGCTGCAAATCACCTTCCTGATATTGGGTGGGGAAAATGTTGACTGTGAATTGGGGAGATTAACATACTGAGGGGGGGGGGGGAACATACTGAGAAGAAAAAGCAAACTATTATTCCCCAGAATCCAGACTCAATAAAGCAAAAGATGCAATTAATATGCTGTTTCATAAGGGTCAGAAACCCATTATAGTACCAAGTCTATTACTATTGATAAATGGAGAATTTCAGAACTGAGTCAGCTATTCATCTACTCTGGACCAAACTACTCTCCTCTTATCATAGCCTTATTGAACTAGGCTTCCTGGATGCCAATTTATTACCAGATCACTTGGCAGATATGAAACTCAGCAGCAATATATCTGCACCCAGTTGTGGGTACACACAGAACTTAACATGCCATCAGAAAAATCTCTTGAATCTGGGGATACTGGAAGGACTTACAGTTTTACCTCTATCATTCTGGACTGAAGGAAAAGCAAATCTTAGAAGAAAGTGGTCAGTGGCATTGAGAATTAATAAAACTTGCCTCTTGAACTGAAAGTGAAAAAAAAATGTGGTACTTGCTAGACTTCCTATACAACTAATACTAAGAGTCATTATAAGCCATTTATATTCAGTGAAGACATAGAGCACTTGGACGTCCTCAAAAGGACCCCAGGGAGGGCATTGTTATGGCAGAGGATGGAGGGAGGTTGGGGTGGAGGGTCTGTCGTTGCCCCAAACTACCACTTCCTTAGCATTGTCAAAACTGAGGGTTCACATTTTAATTGGTAAGTTGCCCAAGTTCTTTGATAGTCTTTGTCATTGCAACCAAACATCACCTGGCAAGACTATTGGGGAAGGGCTACACTTTCCCTCTCTCCCCCCACTCCAGGCTAAGGGGAAAGCATAGATGACAAAGTAACAAACTTGGATCCTGCCCTCAGGGGGCTTTCAGTCTTGCTGACAAGGTATATGATGACTAGAAAGAATCTGAATCCATTTATGCCCAATGCTGTGCTCAGAGAAAAAATTATAAGAAATCCAAAATGAAGACTCTCCTTCTGCCCCTTCCTAATACAATCAAGTAGAACCCAACTGAATTTCTCTTTGTGCCTCAAAAGCTGTGAGCCTTTTCAACTGAGGAGTTATATCCAGCCCATGTAAGCCTCTAGCTGCTGAGAACTTTATACTGTCCACATTCTTGACAGCCTGCCCATCCTCTGAGCAGGAGGTATTTGCTTATTTATTAACTCATGTTGCATAAGCTATAAAAGTACAAAAGAACCTGTAATTACAGCCTAGGAAATAATCCTCTCCCCATGTCAGTAGCTTTGACAAAATTGTCCCTGCAGTGGTTTCATTAAGTTTCAATCTTGTAGCAAATTGTTGATTTAATTTTTTCTTAATAAATATTCATTAAGCCTGAACAAGTCAATTAAAGCTCTGGCAGCAGCTTTCAGGAATCTTGAATGTAGGCAGACAGGGGGAGAAATTTTGAAAATATTTCCAACAACATTGCAGTCTTCCCCCATAAGAGTGCTAGTTTCCCTGAACAACTAGGAACACTCTCAAACCTGAGGAAGCAATCTGAGGCCTCCATTTTCCCCATTTACAGTAGAGCTTTAGGAAATATTGTTATATCCTATTTCCTCCTCTACAATTATTGGACTGCCCCACCATTCTATAAGAACTGCCTTTCCCAAAGTCATCAATAAACTGTAAGCTATACTTTATAGCAAAGAATGACAGACTTTAGCCCATAGGCTAAATCAGACCCACTGCCTGTTTTGTTAATAAAGTTTTATTAGAACATACCACTCTCATTCATTTATATATTATCTGTGGCTGTTTTTGCCCTTCTCTGGCAGAGTTGAGTAGTTGCAACAGAATTTCCCAAAAAGCCTAAAATATTTACTGATTTAATCTTTACAGAATAAGTTTGCTAACTCCTACTTTACCCTACTTGATAGTCACTAGCTTATTTGACCTCTTTCTAGAATTTGGTGCTATTAACCTCTCCCATCTCAAAAATCTCTATTCTTACCTGGCTGGTGTGGCTCAGTGGTTGAGCATTGACTTATGAACCAGGAGGTCAGGATTCAATTCCTGGTCAGGGCACATGTCCAGGTTGCAGGCTCAATCCCCAGTGAAGGGCATGCAGGAGGCAGGTGATCAATGATTCTCTCTCATCATTGATATTTCTATCTCTATCTCTTCTTCCTTCCTCTCTGAAATCAATAAAAATTATATTAAAGAAACAACAACAACAAAAACATATATATTTTTAATCCCTATTCCTTTGACTTCTGTGACAGCCCTGTCTCCTGATTTTCCCCTCTAGTCTGCTGCTACTAATTTTTCTCTGCTTTCTGGTCTCATCTTCTCTCTTAATATCAATGTTCTCCTGAGTTCCACCATGTTCATTCTTCTCTTCTCACTCTGTACACTCTCCCATGGTGCTATCCCAAGGTTTCCATTTCTAGTTATATTATGACTAGAGGCCCGGTACACAAAATTTGTGCATGGGGCGGTGTGTCCCTCAGCCTAGCCTGTATCCTCTCCAACCTGGGACCCCTCGAGGGATGTCCAACTGTCTGTTTAGGCCCAATCCTAGTAAGATTGGGCCTAAACGGGCAGTTGGACATCCCTCTCACAATCCAGGACTGCTGGCACCTGCCTGCCTTCCTGATTGCCCCTAACTGCTTCTGCCTGCCAGCCTGAACACCCCCTCACCACTCCCCTGCTAGTCTGATTGATGCCTAACTGCTCCCCTGCCACCCTGATTGCCCCTAATTACCCTCCTTTGCAGGCCTGGTCCCTCCCAACTGCCCTCTCCTGCTGGCATCTTGTGGTGGCCATCTTATGTCCACATGGGGGTAGCCATTTTTGACCACATGGGAACAGCCATCTTTGTGTTGGAGTGATGGT